TCCATCTGCATAGATGCTTGGCTCCCTCCTCTCCTGCCTAGAGAGTGTGGATGTTTGCTGGTGGTGAGGCCATGGGCTGTGGGGTTCATCGTGATGCAAAGAAGCTTCTCCCTGTGTCTCTCACCCGTCGTGTGGGTCTACGGTTAATAGTCTCCCAGCCCATGTGCTGTCTCACAGATCAGAGATTTCACAGTGTATGAAACACATGTCTGGCCCTGGTACCCAACACTCCAAATTTGTCTTAATTTGGGACATATCAAGGGGACTGGTGCTGGAAGGAGGCAAACCTAAAGTCCTCCCAGGCAGGTCTAGATCTAGGAGAAAAAGAGTACAGGCTTGCTGTTAACCTCTGCTCACTGTACATAAATAAAAGTACACAAATCATATGTATATAGCTTAATGTTCACAAAGGGCATACATCTGTGTAAGGAGTATTTATATCAAGATATTATACATTCTAGAATTTCAGAATTTTGAAATCTAGAACTTCAAAATTCTCATTTTCTATTTAAGTCATTAAGCCAATAGTAATCAGTATCCTGATTTCCAACACCATGAATTAGTATGCACCATTTTTGACTTTCTATAGATGGAATCCTGTGGTGTATGCTCTCCTGTGCCTGGCTTCTTCACTTAGGGTGTTTGTTTGATCCATCCATGGTGTACATAGTTGTATTTCATTCATTCTCATCCCTGTATAGTCTTCTACCATATATTTATACCACAAATTATTTATCTATTTTACTCTTTTTTAAAACATTGAAATATAGGTGATTTAAAATGTTGTGTTAGTTGCTGGCGTACAGCAAAGTGATTCAGTTGTCTATACATGTATATACATTCTCTTTCGTATTCTTTTCCATTATGGTGTATTATAGAATATTGAATATAATTCCCTGTGCTATACAGTAGGACCTTGTTGTTTATTTTATATATAGTAGTTTGTGTCTACTAATCCCCAACTCCTAATTTATCCTTCCCCCACCCTCCTGCCCCCCGGTAACCATATATTTTTCTGTCTGAGTCTGTTTCTGTTTTGTAAATAACATTTGTATCATATTTTAGATTCCACATATAAGTGATATCATATGTTTGTCTTCCCCTTTATGACTTACTTCACTCAGCAGGATAATCTCTGGGTTCATCCATATTGCTGCAAATGGCAGTATCTCATTCTTTTTTGTGGCTAAATAGTATTTCATTGTATATATACCATATCTTCTTAATCCATTCATCTGTCAATGACATTTAGGTTGCTTCCATGTCTTGGCTATTGTAAATAGTACTGCTATGAACATTGGGGTGTGAATTAGAATTTTCTCCAGATATATGTCCAGGAGTGGGATGGCTAGATTATACGGTAAGTCTATTTTTAGTTTTTAAAGGAATCTCCATACTGTCCTCCATAGTGGCTGCATCAATTTACATTCTCACCAACAGTGTAGGAGGGCTCCCTTTTCTTCACACCCTCTCCAGCATTTGTTATTTGTAAACTTTTAAATGATGGCCACTCTAACCAGTGTGAGTTGGTACCTTACTGTAGTTTCAATTTGCATTTCTATTCTTAATGGACGTTTGAGGTGTTTCCAGTTTTGGGCTGTTAAGATAAATGCTGCTGTAAATATTGTTCTCCATGTCTTTTGGTAAAAATTTGTATGTATTTCAGTATATGCCTAGGGGTGGAATTCAT